GAATAATGATACATCATATTTGTGATTATGACGTATTATTAATCGTCATCTTAAATAAAAAACAAAAATGTCAAGTTCGACATCAAATGCATTTTAAAATTTTACAGTTAGCTTCGACAGACAATTTCACGGTTGTAAATAGACCGACCATTCATTTGTAAAATCCAGTTTCACTATGCTAATCAATATATTGTTTTCGTATCATTTGTACAATAATTCTGGAAATTAGGCCTTATATATAGTTCTGCTGTACAAGATTTCAATGCTTCGATGCTCCAGTAACATTTAATGTCATCTGAATAAGGGTCGATATTATTAAATGATATAATATTGATGTATGAAGATATAAAAATTGAATTGTTACTACATCCACAAATAATACATAATCCACTCACATATAAAAACTGATTAGTCCTTTAAAATGAACAGTTAGAATTGAAAGTAACTCGATTCGGCCGATCTTTGCACATTTCTCGGAGTATGCCGATTCTAAAGGAATTTAATCCACATTAAAATATGATATTGTTATACACAGGTAAACATTTATATACAATACATTCTCTACACGTATTTTATAATAATAATTTTCATAAAAATGTTCTTAGTTTATATTTTAATGATGACATTATCACAAATAACTGGTTGGACAAATAAAATTGTTAATGTTTTATTCTAAAGTATAATAATAAATTGCCTGTAAAGGCAAAATGTAAATATAACTATTTAAATCAAAGTCGCTAACAACTCTGAAGGACCCAATTGGTTTACTTGGGGGGTTTCAAGGTCGCAAATAAATTTACATATATTTTTTTATTATATTTAAAAATATTATAAAAGAAATGACTGATATATCTTTAATTTTAGTAAAATAAAATACACAAACTTTGTAATAACACTGAGAGAAATTTTTATTATACTCTAAATGTAAATATACAAGTGACCCAAAAGTCAGTTAATTGGATATAAAAGTGCTCCCCTACTTACAAATAGGTTAGTTTCTGAGATTTTGTCGTCTTAAGTTGAAAACTAACCTGTAAAGTACATTTGTACACAGAATAACTGCTTATTTTTAGTGTTTTATTCTTTGATGTACTTAACTTATACATTATGCTTGTTTACCCACTCACTACTGCTTAGTAGTGGGTGTTTCAAATGCAGTTTTTTCACTTAAGGCACTTAGTTTAATAATGTTCAGTGTAGTTTTCATGATAATAAATGCAAGAAGTTTGGCTCTATCTCCAATGCGTGCGTAGCAATAAAATTCGGCTAAATAAAATTTTGAATGCATTATTGAAGCACTAATTGTAAAAGTTTATAAAAATTGCAAACAATAGCAAAAAATGGCTTTATCCCAACACCACCTTGCAAGCAACAATGGAACGTCAGAATTCATGCAAACAAGAAAATAACAATACAGTGGTACCTCAGGATACGAAATTAATTCGTTCCGACACTGAGATCGTAACATGAAAATGTCTTAAGGTGAATCATTTTTTCCCATACGATTACATGTAAAACCAAATAATTTGTTCCAACACGAAAAACACACTCAAATTAAAGCTAAGTAATACATTTAAAAAAAATAACTATAGTAAGGAAAACACTGAAAAATGCGTTTTGTAGTTGTAAACGTATAAATAATCGTAATCGAATAATAATTGATAAAAAAATGTAGTTTTATTTGCACTTTACCTTTGAGGATAGACAACGGTAGAGGTGTAAATTGGTGGCGGAAGAGCGGGAGAAGGGAAATGATACTAAAACTTAACTTACATAACAAAATAATGTAACAATAACTTAAAAATAACTTAGAAAAGATAAAAAAAATTAGTGTTCTTTTATTTTTTATTTTTTTTTAAATTTTTATTCACTGCTTTTTGCTTTCTTTCCTTCACTTCTACCAGCACTTTCACTGGATAGAGATCGCTTGGTAAACTATCTACCCAAAGAGGTTTGGCTTTGCCTACTTTTTAAAATGTTTCTAAAATGACTTAGGCAAATGTCATTACTCCGAGCAGCAATACGGCCAGTGTGAACCTTTTCGGGATGTTTCTTTTCAATAAAATCAGTCACTTTCTGATAATACCTCAAGATTTC